CAAAAAAAAAAAAAAAAAATTACAGGCGTGAGCCACCACACCTGGCCGCCAGTAATAAAAGATTTAAAAACACATATAAAAGTAGAGAGAATAGTATAATTAACTCCCTTGCATTCATTACCCAGCTTCAACATTTACCAAAAAGTGGAGTACAAATATTTACCAACAAGACTGGCCACTTAACTCCTCCACAAACCCAGGATTATTTTGAAACAAATCCTGTATCATTTTATCCATTTACTTCAGCATGTATCTCTAACAGGTAAGAGCACTTTAAGACCACTATCACACCTAAAGAGGTTAACACTGATTCCTTCTTATCAAATGTCTAGTCCATGTTCAGACTTCACCAGTTGTCTACAAAGTGTGTCACAATTGCTTTGGTTTGAACCAAAATTCACCACTAGATTTGGTTTATAGGTCTTAAGTTGGTGACTATATAATTTATCATCCGAATTGGGACACCTTTTAGTATGAAAGGGCCCATTGTTAATAATCATTCCAACATAACAATGTCAACAAGGAGTGCATCAGGCAAACTAAGATTTAAGGACCTCTAGTCTCTTTTGATCTACAGGTTATCTTTTCTCATTATTTTTTCCCCTGAAAAAGTGTTGCCAAAGAAATGAGGTCTTTGCTCTACTGAACATCTCAAATTGTGGATTTGGTCAATTGCATTTCTATGCTTTATTTTCTACAAACTGGTTAGACCTAATTCAGGTTCAATTTTTTAGCAAGAATATTTCATAGGTAGTACTGCAAACACAAAATGTTTTGCTATGTCTCTCATGTTAAGATTTATCTGTGGGTTTAGGTATGGTTAGCCTCAGCTTTTGATCAAATGGTTTAAGCCGTCATTAACATCCACAGAGGTTATTTTATTAAGAGTTGCATACTGGTGATATATTAATTTTATCATTTCTTCTCCATTTTATTAGCTGAGAGTCTAATGAAACACATTTTTTCATTACATTGCTAAACCAAGATATGGTTTCTTTTAGGAAAGACAGATGGATGCTATATTGTTTCTTCTTATTTACCCATTTTCAGGACAATGTGTTGCTTCCCTAACATGATCCAAAGGAGACCTATGAAATTTTTATGAGTTCATAAGTTTTAATATATTTGATGTGTTTTAATCCATTATGGCCATTATTCTTTTTGATGCTCAAATTATACCACCTTTGAACATAGGGAAGTTGGCTACAAAGTCCTTTTGACAACCACAGAAATCTTTAACAGCTTCCTTATTTTCAGGTATGACCAAGATCTCTAGGCTCATATATTGTACATTTCCCACATCAAATGTGAAATTAGCTATTTGTATACAAACTCTAGTTCCTTTTAGTGAAAATAGATTATATAGATTAAAAATGTAAATTCTTTGTACCTACTTCCTGAGAATGTTAGTAAAATCCTTCTATTGCAAAGAAAGAAAAAACCAAGTCATAAAGGGCTCATGCAAGTGTTAAGTTCAAGCATATCCATAAACCTATCAAATATCTTTTGGCTACCAGAGCAATAACCTAAATACTTAAAACAATAATAGGTTTGAATGTACTTGGAGAAAAGTAAAGAGCATTTTATAAGTGGAAGGTATTATATATCAAAACACAGGGTGCCCTTCTTTGAAGAGTCTACTAAGGATAAATTCAGGAAAAGAAACTGGACAAATGTTAAATTAATTCCAAGATCTAGAAGGCATATACCAAAGCACAAAACGAGATCATGTATAAGCATACCAAGTATTATACTTAAAAGTTTAAGTCATTATAACTTAAAATATCATTTGTTCTGAAATTGATATAGCCAAGAATATTTAATTTTCTGATTATCATTATTCTCCCCAAAGTAAGTTCCAGTTACAAAGTTATTACCTCCAATAAGTTCTGAAGTTCCTGTTCCCTTTCATTTAAGGAAGATACCCACTGTTCAGAAAAACAAAATGTTCTTGAGTTCAGAGACTCACATCTCTGTTCAGTCTCCTGAGATATTTTTTCCAGGTTGCCTTTGAGTTTATCAGAGTATTTCACAGACTCTTCAACCAATTTTGTACTTTCTTGGTTAAAATTTCTGAGTTCCTGTGACAAGCCATCAGAATCAGCACAAAATTTTTGACTGTGAAAAGTCATTTTGTTGACTATATCCTCAGATTTCCTATAGGAAAAAGAGTATGACACTGTTGAAAGGGGGAATTAAGACTCAAAGGATATATAACTTCCCAAGATCACTCAGTTCTTCACTGGCAGATTTGAACGTGGGCAGTCTGGCTCCAGGGCCCGTGATCTTAACACATCTTCTACGTTGAGAATGGATGCCGTGGCCAATGTCTTTTCACAGCAGACTGCCATTAAATGACGTTTGAAAGGATCATCTTTTCTCATGAAACCTTTCACAGCCCTCCTCCAGTTATGATGCTTTCAAAATTTGTCTGCTTGTTTTATCCCTCTTACCAGGAAATGTTATTTCAGGGCATCTACTACAGCCTCCCGTACAGTCCCTAAATTAGACAATCAGTCATTTATTCTGTTATTAAGCAGTTTCACTTGCCTAGTACATAAAATAAATCACAAACATTACAAATGTTATGTTTAAATCAGCTATAAAGCTTTCTAATAATTAAAAGAAAATTATATTGGGGTGTGACAAATTATAAATATAGAACAATATAACATAAACTTGATATAAAGCTAATGTTGGTTAGATATACATTTAAAATTCATTGATTTCCCTCTCTGAAAGTTTCCCTATAATAGCATTCAAAATTATCTTATAGGACAAGATTTAAACCTTGTGTAATGAAGTGACTCTCTAATACCACTAGATGGTACACCATGTGGATAAACCAAGTGAGTAAGCAAAGATGTTGAAAACCAAACCTACAAATGAAAGTCACAATAATTGAAAAAAGGGCTGGGCACAGTGGCTCACACCTATAATCCCAGCACTCTGGGAGGCCAAGGCAGGTAAATCACTTGAGGTCAGAAGTTCAAAATCAGCCTTGCCAACACGGTGAAACCCTGCCTCTAGTAAAAATATAAAAATGAGCTGAGTGTGGTGGTGTGTGCCTGTAATCCCGGATACTCAGGAGGTTGAGGCAGGAGAATTGCTTGAACCCAGGAGGTAGAGGTTGCAGTGAGCCAAGACTGTGCCACTGTACTCCAGCCTGGGTCACAAAGCAAGGTGCTGTCTCAAATAAATAAATAAATAAAACTAAACCTCATAGATTATAAATTTGATGAAAAAGCAAGACCCAACTATATGCTGTCTATAAGAAATCCACTTTAAATATAAAGACTTAGGCCAAAAATAAAGAGATGGAGAAGGATACATCATACAAATGGCAATCAAAGGAAAGCGGGAGTACCTGTATTAATTTCAGACAAAAAAGACTTCAGAACAAAAGAGATAATCAGAAACAAAAGTGGATGTTACATAATGATAAAGAGGTCAATTCTCCAAGGAGATATGATAATCCTGATTGTATATGCACCCAACAACAAAGTTTCAGAAACACGAGGCAAAAACTGACAGAACTAATAAAAGAAATAAATCTACAATTATAGTTAGAGATTTCAATATTCCTGTCTTAGTCATTGATAGAACAATTATACAGAAACTCAGTAAAGCCGTAGGTGACCTTAATAGCACTATTGATCAGCTTGATCAGGTTGACACATATAAAACACTTCATCCAACAAAAGCAGCATACAAATTTTCTCATGTGGGTAGCACACAAACAAAGCATATCAGAGTAACAATGCAAGGGCTGTAAAAACTAAACTGTCAGTCAAACCACAGCCCACAAAAGTGAGCCTGGACCTGTATGCTAAGCCTAAACAGGGTAAATCCCCGCTAAAAAATACTTAAATAAGAACCTGAATCTCCTAACATAATACCCAAAATGTTCAAGATACAATAGAATATCACTTCTCATATATCAAGAACCACAAAAATCACAAGTTGAATGAGAAAAGACAATCAACGGATACCAACAATGAGAAAACTCAAAGATGTTAGAATTGTCTGGCAAGGATTTTAAAGCAACCATCATAAAAATGCTCCAACAAGAAATTAATACGCCTGGAAAAAAAAATCCTAGCAAAGAAACAAGGTATAAAAAAAGCAACTCAGGTCTTCTCTTCTGGTTTCTTCCCAGGGTCAGGAAAAGCTGGGTTGAGAGGGTGTGAAAAAAAAAAAAAAAAAGCAAATCAAAACTACAAAACTAAAAATAAAAAAACCAATAACTGAAATAAAATACCTCACTGAAAGGGTTTAACAGTAGGTTATGGCCGGGCACAGTAGCTCATGCCTATAATTCCAGCACTTTGGGAGGCCAAGGCAGGCAGATCACCTGAGGTTGGGAGTTCGAGACCATCCTGACCAACATGGAGAAACCCCGTCTCTACTAAAAATACAAAATTCGCTGGGCGTGGTGGCACATGCCTGTAATTTCAGCTACTTGGGAGGCTGACGCAGGAGAATCGCTTGAGCCCAGGAGGTGAAGACTGTGGTAAGCTGAGATAGTGCCATTGCACTCCAGCCTGGGCAACAAGAGTGAAACTCCATCTCAAAAAAAAACCCCAAAAAAACCATAGGTTAGAGATGACAGAAGGAGATTCAGTGAATATGAAGACAGATCAATAGAATTTCCCCAATTAACAACGAAGAGAATAAATGTACCTGTAAGAAATATATTATACATATCTCCTGAGGGACCATAATAAAAAATCTAACATTTGTGTCATTAAAGTCATAGGGGCAGAGGAAAAAGAGTATGAGGCTGAAAAATATTTAAAGAATTAATAGATGAAAATTTCCCAAGTTTTGGTGAAAGGCATAAACCTACAGATTTAAGAAGCTAAACAAAACCCAAATAGAATAAACTCAAAGAAATACAAGAGTAGACAAAATATAATCAAGTTTCTAAAGAGAAAAAATTTGAAAACAGCTGTAGAGAGATTGCCTATATGGGAAGAATTACTTGAATGGTAGTGGATTTCTCATTTCATAGAGGCCAGAAGAAAATGGAACAGCATATTTTAAATGCTGCAAAAAAAAATAATTGTCAACCCTGAATTCCATAGCCAGTGAAAATATCTTTCAAGAATGAAGGGGAAATCAAGACATTCTTAGACAAAACAAAACAGAATTTGTGGCCAGCAGACCCACCCTTAAAGACTACAAGAAGTTCTTCATACCAAAGAAAGTTTGAAGCTTTAGGAGTTTAATTTAGGAATTAAGTGGGCAAAAATAGGGTAAATATAGTATCTTTCCCCTCATGAGTACAGAATACTCAATAGGCAAAAAACTGAACCTTGACAAATCTCCTGTTATATAAAAATTTTTAAAGGGATCATGAATTTAAATGTTAAACCATAAAGTTATAAAATTCCTAAAAGAACACATAGGTCTGACTGTAGTATATGATAAGTGTGTGGAACTGGCAAGCAATGAGACTACAAAGCAACATTAAACTCTAATACAGGCCAGTGCAGTGGCTCACACCTGCAAACCAGCACTCTGGGAGGCTGAGGCAGGTGTATCAGTTGAGGCCAGGAGTTTGAGACCAGCCTGGCCAACATGGCAAAACCCCGTCTCTACTAAAAATACAAAAAATTAGCCAGGCATTGTGGTATGCACCTGTATTCCCAGCTACTCAGGAGACTGAGGCAGAAGAATCGCTTGAACCCAGGAGGCGAAGGTTGCAGTGAGCCGAGATCACGCCACTGCACTCATGCCACTGCACTCCAACATGGGCAACAAAGCAAGACTCTGCCTCAAAAAACAAAACAAAACCCTAATTCAGGAATCAGCAAACTTTTTCTTGAAAAGCCAGATAGCAAATATTTTACGCTATTGTTCAATGACTTGGAAACAATGACTCAACTTTGCCATCTCAGTGCAAAGGCAGCCAAAGATAACCAAAGGCAACATGTAAACAGATAGGTATAACAGTGCCCAGTGAAATTATTTATAGTAACAGGCATCCAGTCTGCTAGCCATAGCTTGCCAAACCCTACTCTAGTTAGTATATTTTTCATCAGTAATATAGGTTAGAAATTGTGAAATTACTTAATTTGTTTTCTAAGATTGAGGAAATTAGAAAATACATTTTGGATAAGAGCCAGGTATTTCACTGTCTTAAGAGAGCACAAATATCCAATGAAAAGACATGTGCATGTATGTATATACACATATATAAACATACATTATAAGATATTAACAAATGAGAAATTTGAAAGTACACAGAGGAATTATTTGTACTATTTAAAGCTTTTTCGCCGGGCGCGGTGGCTCAAGCCTGTAATCCCAGCACTTTGGGAGGCCGAGGCGGGTGGATCACAAGGTCAAGAGATCGAGACCATCCTGGTCAACATGGTGAAACCCC